ACACACACACACACACACACACACACACACACAGAGAGAGAGAGAGAGAGAGAGAGAGAGAGAGAGAGAGAGAGAGAGAGAGAGAGAGAGAGTTATAAAAATAGGGAACCAGGCATGCACCTTTAATCTAAGCACTCTGGAGGCAGAGGCAGGCAGATTTCTGAGTTCTGCAGTAGTCTGGTATACACAGTGAGTTCAGAACAGTCAGGGCTATATAGAGAGACCCTGTCTCCAAAAATAGGGGTGGGAGGAGCTCTATTGAGTAACTGTCTGGATCTTACCTGCAAATGCACTAGCAAGATCACTGGATGTTGGATTCCGAAATTTGACATACTTATCTGTCCACCACGTAAGCCCACTCTTTAGCATTGGGACTTCTATATTTATAGACGAATTGAGGTTGTATGAAAGAGTTATGGTATCTGAAAGGAAATTTAAAATTATAGTAGAGATGTTAGGTAGCCATTTTGCCACCTTTCAAAATGCAGACCCAGACCCAGACAAAAAACAAATTAGGTTTTTTTTTTGTTTGTTTGCAGACACTCAACACGCCTACATGCCATAGATGCTTAATCATGAGATCATTTTTTTCTTTAACCAACACTGAGCCAATTATTGAAAAATATTCTTTGGCTCCATTTAATTGTGTTCTCTGACTGTTCCTTCAGATTGCTGGCAAGAGAGAAGTTATTTACAAATGAAACACCATATATCAGTGTTCTGGCTTATTCTGGATAAAATACTTGGTGTTAAACAAGCAAATAAAACCAGCCACTCAGCTGCCCGGGTAATATCCTGGATGTGGAGGTGGTTACACACTTATGAAAGAGATAGGGAAAAAGTCACCTACCGTTGAATATGCTGTTGGCAATCGCACCACAAGGAATGATGGGAGTGCCGTTTTGGGACAATTGGAATGGAGAACAGTTCTTCACGTCCTGTGTGCAAGATGATGCATCAATGAGAAGTGCTTTTGGCAAACTCTCAGACTATTGAAAAAGAGAACACTGGCAATGTGTATCAACCCTTATTAGTGTGTTGGCATGGGCAAGGATTTTGGACTGCTACCTGTTTTCCTCAGGTTTTCTGGCTCACTTAGACTATAGAATATGTTCAGTCTTTGGAGATATATGTGCATACGGATGTCTAGGAATTTTATTTCCTTTTTAATAACACAGAGCATGCCAAAACTATTTGCAGGAAAATTTTTTTACCTTGTTAGGCTTAGTATCACATTAAGTCTACATGGGAACACTTCTAAAAATCTTTTTGTGAAAGTGTACCATATTCAGAAGAGTATTCAGAAGAGCTAGTAATCCATAGCTAGATGACTTCATAGGGAACTGCTTGCTAAACATGTTTAGGTTATCACTTCCATAGACTGTCAGGATGAAATAACAATCCAGCTAGCTTCTCTCGTTAACATATAGGAACTACTGAGGATAATCATACAATCCTAGGTTATACCTAGGCTTTTATACCCCGTTAAACCAAAGGCTTTTATTAAAGCAAATTTCCTTTAAGTAGGATGGATCAAGGACCTCAGTTATAAAAAGGCGAACATGGTTAGCAAGTGAATCAAGCGGACACCAAGGTCTCTCAGAACACAGGATAGCTACTCCGATGGCTAGCACCCACACTAACTGCTTTAAAGGGGGCCAGTGCTCGCTCCTGATAATATTTATCTAAAATGCTCAGCTCCTTCACTTTAAGAATGAAGCAAACATTTCTATCTTCAAAAACCTAGATTCTGAGCCCTGGCCAACTCCGGTCTTTTGGAATGAAGAACCCCCCTGGCTTAAACAGAAGAGAACGTTACGCCGATGGGACTGAGCCTCACCCAAATATCCTTCCCCACCAGCTGACTGTTGCTTCTTGATAAAATATATCGATAGAGGTTCTGATAGAAACCATACAATTTGTAGTACATGTAAACGTCACCCTGCATAGAAGAGAAATAAGAAGCAAATAAGATGAATTGACTGGGATATTAATAAACATCAACACCTCCTAAAAAGACAAACAAACAGGAAACAGTATACAAAACGACGATGGGAACTGAAAGTTTCTTTTTAGAAACTAGAAACTCAAAAATAAAAAAAAAAATGTTTGGAGACAGGGTCTCACTGTATAGTCCTGGTTGACATAGGACCAGGCCAGCCTTGAACTTAGGAGATCTGCCTGCCTCTACTTCTGGAGTGCTGGGATTAAAGATGTGTGCCGTCTCCATTCCCAGCTTTGGGCTGTGTATTTTCAATGCATAAATGCAGAGTTATGGATTTTGTCTCTTTGTGGCAATACCAGGAAAATACTTGGTATACCATGTTCTAAACTTTTAAAATAACTATTTACAAGATTGCAATATCTAGGTATTTTTTCTTGACGGAACACGTTTTTCTTTTTGGGGGTTCCCAAAATCTGAAACAGCTGGAACATCAGCAGCACTGGAATAAGCTTTCCTGGCAGCCTCTCCGGTGTGGCAGCTTCTGGTACAACACCATCCCTTTTATCAGCTTTAGAGTGGAGAGACAGGGACTGAAGCAGCTGAAGCAGTTTAAGTAATTAACATCCAACAACATTCTAGTGATTTTCCCAGTAAGAGTGGGGTGCACGGCTTGATTAAGAGGAGACTGCTGTTCATCCAGTATTTGCCGGTTGCTCTTGAGTGGGACAGCAGTCAAAAGCTAATGACCTTGTATGAGAAGAACAGGCCATGTATTAAGATGTTGCTAGAGACTATGCAGTAAATTTATACTGTGGCATATTGAGACGGCAGAATAGCCACAGCAGCCGCTGTAGGTTAGGGACCTCTTGTCTGTGGTGCTGTCTCATTGTACCAACTGGCAGTCTAGGAGCAGTTGGGTGGATGGTAGTACTGGGCATGTTTTGGCATGGATGAGGGCCGGCATGCTGAGGGTCTCAGTGAGGACTTGGTTTTAGATGAACAACCTTGCTAGGATAGGATGATTGTATGGAGCTTGATTCTGAGTTTGTGGGGGTAGTTGCCATGGGATGACCCGAAGGAGGTGCTGACTGGCAAGGTTGACTGGGGGTTTGTGTGTGTTGCTCAGTGGGATGGACCCAGGGCTTGTCTTTGCACTGAGCTGAAGCTGCACACAGCCATTTGGTGGTCACCGTTCTCTCTCTCATCTCGGAAGCTGTTTTAATGCTTCATTGGGGGAGGACAAACATACCACACCAAACATTTTGCGTGTTGCATTGCTGTAAGCACCCAGAGCCATGAATACGGTTTCAAATCCAGGGGATGGGACTTAGAACTGGAGTCACCAAGCATCTGCACGTGAATATGCAGGCTGGGCACATGGGAGGCAGGAGACTAGAAACTCCCCGTGCTCGGGCTCTGGTGAAGAATGTCATTAACTTAGCGGCAAGTTCTGTGCTTTCCCTAAGAGCGCAGATAGGTGGGAACTGATACTAGGCTTTCTCTTTGGGATTTTTCTTCCTTCAAAAATTTAAATATTCGGAGCCTTCAAGAGGGAAAGGAGGAGAGGGGGAATTCAGGAAGTATGGATGGACTCGAGGGCTAGAAGAAGGTCAAGAACGAGAGCAAGGAAGGTCGCGGGCCGCAGTATTTCTTAAGACCGTTCAGCAAGCTGACAGGAAGGCTTATGCGATGATGCCTCCCAGGACGCTTCTCTTCTGGGGAGAGCCTACCTTAGTTACTGCTGTGATCAGCCAGTGGCTCATAAGACCCCCTGGAAGCCTGGCCCTTGGGCACAGAGCTGGGACACCCCTCAGCTACACTCCCTGCATGAAGCGCTGAGAAGAGATTTTTATGCCTCCATGGTTTTACCTAACAGTCAAGACTCAAATGAAAAATGTATTTTATTCTACTTCTCAAAGATATTTCAAATGTCCATTCTGTGCTCTACATTCTACACCCCTTCCTCTCAGTGTCCCCCACAAAGACCTGGTTCCCTGCTTTCCTTCAGAATGTCACTATACATAGGAATCCAGGTACAGGCTAGTTTTCTCTCTGTCTCTCCACTGAGCACCCACCTTAGGGCTTACAGGTCATTTAGCTGGTTTCAAACCCAAGTCATCATCATCTCCTGAAAAACCCATTCACTTCTCCCTTCCCTTCCTCTTCCCTAAAGGTCAGGGTGGACAGCTCTCTTTGCCTCCTCCTGATCTGGGAAGTTTCTTTACGGAATCTCCCTAGAATCTGTAGTCACAGGAGATAATTTAATCAACCCAACAGCAGGGGTTTCTCTTTGTATTTCTTGGCATTCCTGACACTGCCAGTGAGCCATGCTGAGAGCCTCCGGATCCAGCAACTGCACTGGTAAGATGACTTGGGGTAGGAGAATCCACGGAGAAGTCCACCAGGCAAAACTCTTGACACTAACTTAACGTGTGACCTTAGCCAAACTGTGTAACTTCTCAGTCCATTAATGATTTCACTTAACACGAGGTGCTAAATGTAGTAAATTCTATAGCCCTGTCCACACACATATTTATAATACAACCTGTGTGACTGGTCATACAAATCATGTTGGAAAGTTAAGAATCTTGAGGTTGGGGGGGGGGGGGGGGGGCTTTTCAGAGACAGGTAGAAACCTGATGCAAGGGAAACTCCCACAAACCTACAAGGGTGACCCCAGCTAAGACACCTAGCAATAGTGAACTGAACTGGCCATCTCCATCTCCTATGATGAGATCGGTGACTACCCCAGTTGTCATCAGAGAGCTTTCATCCAGTAACTGATGGAGACAGACACAGAGACCCACAGCCAAACATTAGGATAAACTTGGGAAATCCTGCTGGAGAGAGGGAGGAAGGGTTATAGGAGCCAGAGGGTTCAAGGACATCACAAGAAAACCCACAGAATCAACTAACCTTGCTCATAAGAATTCATAGTCTGAACCAATAATCAGGGAGCCTGCATGGGACTGACCTGTCTACAAATATGTGACAGTTGTATAGCTTGGTCTATTTGTGGAACTTGTAACAATGAGAGCAGGTTCTGTCCCTAATGCTTTGGCTAGCTCTTGAGAACCTATTCCTTACACTGCATTGTCTTGCCTAGTTTAAATACAAGGGGAAGTGCTTAGTCTTATGGCAACTTGATATGCCATGCTTTGTTGATATCTATGGCCCGCCCCTTTCTGAATAGAAACAGGAAGAGTGGATTGGGGAGCGGGTATGGAGAGGGAATGGGAAGAAAGGAGAGAGGGGAAACTGTGGTCAGGATGTAAAATAAATAAATTAAATTAAAAATAGAATCTTGAGGCTTAGAAACAAAAAAAAAGCAACAGTATAACAACACAAAAGACATTCTGAGGTTGTAGGGTCATGGACTCAAGACTTATCATTTCTACCTTGCTTTATTTCTTATACCTTTCAGTTTTTTGGAAAGCCTTTGATGGAAAGTGCAAAAACAACACGCAGGAACATGCAGAGGTCCATCAGTACGGAGTGAATTGAACTCACCTCCATTTTCTCCGGAAGGTAAAAAGGAACAGAGCAAGTGCATTCTTTGTCAAAATTTGAGCTATCTTCCCGTAGCTGAGCACAATTGGCACATATATTTGTGTAATTAATCTGTCAGGCAGGGAAACACAATAATTCATGTAGAGGTTAGATGAGCCCATATCTGAAAATTCCATGTCCCAGCCTCTCCAAAGTCTTCAATTTTTTTGGAGATGGAGCCCGTGGCATGGCTAGGGGACAGCCTGCAGTGTGGGTGTTCTTTTCTGGGTTGCTTGGGAGGAGGCCTTCTTACAAGTCTTCCACTGAGTCGCCAGGAGGCACCTTGCCACTGGCTGGGAAACTCCATATCTCTGTTGCACACTTCTGTGATTGGTTGGGAGGAAGCCACTTTCCCTCAGTCCTGAGTAGGGGCTGCTAGGAAGGCATTAGCCGGTGATTCACGAAAACCGTGCTTCCAGCCCGAGCCTAATCACCTTTACAGGAAACTCACTCTCTAGTTTCCATTTTTTTCTATGGAAAATATTCGGCTTAATTACCTCACACGTCATCGGGAGGAAGTTACTGAAAGTGACAAAGCAGGAAAACAGTATTTCCAAAGAAGATTATTGATGTATGTGCAATAATTCTCAGCTTGAGAAAGTGATGTGTTCTGCCTTTTGAAAGTTAAATTCTGTGGAAAAATTATATAATAAACTCTTAAAAAAAAAAAAGAGTCAAGTGTCCCAAGTGAGTGACGCCTGTGTGCTCTGGCAAGGCGCTCCACACTCAGTTCTGGGAGGATGAAACTTGAAGACGGTGGGAGGCAAGGTTCAGAGACAGGGTAGGGGCTGGGGGGACCAGGAACCGCGTGCTTCCCAATCCTGTGGGCGGCTTCTGCTTCCCTGTCTATGATGAAGAAAGAGCAATCAGAGGATTCTGGGCGAGTGGTAGCTCATAGAAGCAAAGAAGTGGCCTTTTCTCTGATAAGGTGCCAGTAGGATGTAGGATTTTTTTTTGGAGAGAAGACTGACAGGAAAAAGGGAATACTGAGTCTTTGTGAAGTCCCTTCGAGTTAAAACAGAAAAGCGAAGGGGAATATTAAAGAGCTCTAAGTCACCATTCTCCACACCCACGGCGTGTGGAGAATTACTCTGAGAAAACGATTCCATTTCTGGTTGTGGAACCATACTTCAGCTTATAAAGAGCGTTGAAGAACAGGACAGTATGCCAGACAAGAGCAAGCACAGACAGCACACTGAACCACACCACGGGAACTGGGGCTCCAGTGTGGCCAAGGTTCCCTTTTGACTGGAGGATTATATTTGACCTCTAGGACCCTAATTTTTGATCATCAGCATATTTGGTAGAACAGTTTATCTACCAGAGATGTCATACTGGAATGCACTTTATTTCATAGATTCCATTCCTCGGTGTAGAAACATAGAATTAGAAGAAATGTTTCATGACCACACAGTTTTTGATTAGATGGTATCTCTGATGCTCTCTACCTTTAAGAATTTTAGTGAGAAACACATATCCCCAATATACTAGGTACACAATGACAGTATTTTGCAATTCAGTGTTCAGCTGAACTTGTAAACCTTTAGATAAAAACAGAGCAAAGACTGTAGTCTGCTATTCATAGAATTTGAGAGGCAGGTGTCATTCATACTTAAAGTGACTTGTAGAGAGTGATTCCTCTCATTGGGTATATAGCTAAAGACAATGCAATTTAGCACATTAAAAAGATACCCTGCGGGGCGGTGGTGGCGCACGCCTTTAATCCCAGCACTCAGGAGGCAGAGGCAGGTGGATCTCTGTGAGTTTGAGGCCAGCCTGGGCTACCAAGTGAGTTCCAGGAAAGGCGCAAAGCTACACAGAGAAACCCTGTCTCGAAAAACCAAAAAAAAAAAAAAAAAAAAGATACCCATATTCCCACAATTGTTTGCAGTTCTATTCATAATATTATGGGATTGATCTCAATCTAATTGTCCAATGACAGATGAATACAGACAACGTAGTGTATCATATCTATAATGGAACATTATTTGGTCATAAAGACAAAACCTTGTCATTTGCAGCAAAATGAACAGCTATGGAGGCCATTAGAACAACTGATATTGCACGCTGTCATTTGTGTATGGAAGCTTAAACAGTTCGTGTACAGGAGAAGAGTAGCCAGAGCTGAGGAAGGGGGGCAGTGGGAGGAGGGATGAGGCTGACTGAGGTGACCCAAACACAGACAGAATAATCCTTGTGCTCCACAGGACAGTAGTGTATCTACGGCTCGTAGTAACTTCCTGTATGTTTCATAGCTATCTAGAAGAGAGGAGCTAGAATCTAATCATAAAGAAAGCAAGGAGAGGGAAATGGCAATTCCCTTGGTTTGCTCAGCATGCATTTGTAAACATGTACTAAAACAACTCACTGTGCCCAGTAAACTATTACAACCATGACACCTTAACTACACAAGAATAACATTTAAAAGCTCATATGCTTAAAAAAAAAAAAAAAAACCACCCCAGATCTTTATTTTTGGCTCTGGGCTCATTAACATACGGATTACTGGGGTCTGGTGGGCTTTTGAACTTGACCCTCCCCTTCTGCCTCTGTTTGTTGCTTGCTCACTTCTCCAAGATCACCTGACTTGGGCAGGCTTTTGTACGTAAATACGGCTGTAGGTGATCAGTGTGACAGCAAGAATGAATGATGTCAACACAAAGGGCTCTTTTCCCATCTGCATCCCCGCCAGCCCAAAGTTGGGTGGATCCAGTCATACCTAGTTTCCCATTGAGGGGCTATGTTCTTAAAGTGACTGCTCCCATTTATGGTCCCAAACTGAGCAACTTTGGAAATTAAAAGCGTAAACCACGACAAACCTCGATTTCCTTGGTGCTCTTTGCAGACAGTAGAAGGATGATGCCCATACAGAGGCAGAATCCTCCTGTGGCAAAAAAGATAGAGAGGACCACCGAGGCAGATAAATCTAGCTGGTGGGCAGGCAACGTTTGCTGCTTCAGGGCTGTGTTTTCTGGCATTCTGGACAGGTCATACTGGGGCATCATCTCCATTTTGGTCCTGTGGGTGACTCACATACTTTAGGGACATTTAGAACATTCATACTTGTAGTCCTATCACATGATGCTAATGCTACATGAAGAATGACATGAAGTTGTAAAGTTCTGTCTTGTTCTCTAGGCAGACCTGCTACCTGCAGTAAGCACAGCTCTCTCCAGTCACGGCTGGGTGCACCTGATTTCAGTTCAGTAAACCTGCTGTGTTAAATGCCATGCCTAAGAGAGTTGGCCTCAGTGTCGGTAAAAACCAACTGCTCACGCTCAGAAGCAGTTGTTATGAGAAGTTTCTGAGGTTTGTTGGTTAAGTCGAGGCAAAAGCTTCCTAAGTGTATCTTTATGAACTTGTGTAAATCTTTGGTGATTAATACAATTGAAGTTAGGGCTATCAGCTTTTCCCCAAATATGGCTATTGCCTAACACGAATATGAACTAAGTTGGGAAAATACTCTGAGACCACATACATCTAGCTCTGCCATTTGTGAGGGAGAAAGGAGAAACACAGGAATTTTCAGAATGTAGGTGCATGTATTTAATATCACTAGCTTTCTTTCTCTCTCTCTCTCTCTCTCTCTCTCTCTCTCTCTCTCTCTCTCTCTCTCTCTCTCTCTCCCCCCCCCTCTCTTCCATACATTAGAAAGAACCAGACAGAAAATGTAGATGACAACATTTCCTCTTGGGGCTGGAGAGATGGCTCAATGGTTAAAAGCACTGGCTACTCTTCCTGAGGACCCAAGCTCGATTCCCAGTACCCATAGTGTCACAAGTGTCTTTAATTCCAGACCCAAGGGATCCAATACCCTCTTCTGGCCTCCTCAGGCATTGCATGCACATAGTGCACAGACAAAATACTCATAATTCAGCCTCAGACAAAATACTCCTGCACATGATTTCAGACAATATACTCATACATATAAAATAAAAATAAAAACCTTGAAAGAAAAAGGCTCCCCTTAGCCTCTCTCAAATCTATCCTTTAGAGGTTAGTGAAGCGTCATCGGACGTTCAGCCTTGCAATATGGTTATTAGCTCTGGTTTGAGGGTTTTCTCCCTTGGCCGTTAACAACTTATAAATATTCCTTTACGCAGACTTTGAATTTTATAAAGTCAGCAGAGAAGCCATGGTGTGTCAATGACAAATGGACCTGATTTAAGAGAATATCAAGTAAATGCAAATATATACAGTAGGAGGTTTCCAGTTTAGAATCAGTCTTTATACTTGCGAAACAGACAAACGAAAAGAAAATCACCCATGGGAGATTTCAGCATGCCATTTGAATCTGATCTGCAAGTGGTGACTAGACGGACTGTTGCTGTCACCTACCAGACGGCGTGAGTGAGGTGTCAGCGGACACCGTTAGCATCCACTGGTTGTTTTGCTAAATGAACATGGCTAAGGGCTTGGGTTTAAAGAGCAGCCACAGACTACAAGGTTAATCTGTATACAACCGTCCCACAAGACACCAGGCACGTTTGTGACTTAAGGTCCTGCTCCAATGCTGGAGCAGATAATGCCCAACGAAAGGGTTATTTCTGTAACAGAGCATTAAGAACAGTATTTTTTAGCCTTCTAATAAAACAAGATGGCAAACTTAAAAAAGCTTCACGGGTAGTTGTTAATCATGCCTCTCCTGAAAATCAAATCCACAGACACCTAAGTATATATTATAAAGAATTGTCTCACACAATTTCAGAGGCTAAGTCCAAAACCTGCAGAGTCCAATCAGTGTCCCAGTTGAGTTCTGAAGACCAACAGACTGGCATAACCTTAGCAAGAGTCAGTTTTTCAGTTAGAATTCTGTTAGTTGGGGGTGGGGGAACTCAGCCTTCAGTTCTGGGCAGGTCTTAAATGGGGGGGGGCGGTGAATCCCACTCACATAATGGAGGGCAATCTGATTCAATTAAGTCTGATGATTTACATGTTACTCTTACCATAGACAACCTCACAGAATAATGCCTCACTATCTGGCACCATGTGGTTCAGCCAAGTAGTACTTGGTACCAGGTACACATTATATATTCACCCTCTTTTCTAAACTTTTTCTCTTTTATTTTTCATTAATTTTTGTCTTACAAACATATTTTGATCATATTCTTTCCTTTCCAACTCCTCCCCACCCACCCTACCTATTCAACCTCATATCCCCTCTTAAAAAATGGAAAATAAAAATCTAATAAGGCAGAAAATACCCAAACAAAACAAAATGAAAAGAAAAACCCCACAAAAACAATAACCACAAAACAAAACAACAATCTCCCAAACTCCAGACTCTGTTTTCTATTGGCCAACTATTCCTGTCCTGGCCTTGGGTGTGGTTGGTATACTCCTGAATATTCTGTAGTGTATTTCCTTTCCCAGCAGGTATCAGTTACAGATAGCTTCTTGGTTAGGGGTGGGATTTTGTGTTCACTGCCCTTCTCAGTGCTGGGATCATGTCTGGTTTGAACTTTCTCAGGTCTTATGCATGCTGTCACAGGCTCTGTGAATTTGTGTGTTTCACTCCTGTTGTGTATAAAAGACAATGTTTCCTCAGAGTCATCTATCACCTTGGCTCTTACAATCTTTGCCTCCTCTTCCACATAGATCCCTGAGCCTTGCAGGGAGGGATTTGATGACATCTCACGTAGGACTGAGTGCTCTGAAGTCTCACGCTCTGCACATTGTCCAGCTGTGGGTCTTTGTGTTAATTGCCATCTACTGCAAGAATAATCTCTGCTGAGGATCCAGTGAGGTACTTATCTATGGGCATAGCATTGTGTTATTAGGAGTGATTTTATTGCCATGCTCCTTAGCAGAATAATAGTAGTAGGTTTTTCCTAGGGCTCATGACCTACCCCAGTCTCAGGTTGTTTTTCCTAGGGCCCATGACCTACCTTAGGTTCTTGGCCAGTTCAGGAGTTTTGAGTATGGTTTCCATCTCGTGAAGTGGGCCTAAATCCGGTTCTAGATAACACAACTAACACTTGCAAATACATTTCATTTGTTTTGCTTATTAATAATCAATGTTCCTCAACACTTTTGACAACTGGATATGTTGTGTGTCATAGAATATTTAGCTGCATCCCTGACTTCAACCAGCTAAGTGTCAGTCACACCTCCCACTGGATGCCAGTAGCAGCCTCCTGCTCCAGTATGCAGCTAAACATAATTTTAGGCATTGCAAATGTACCCTAAAGCTGGGCAGTGGTGGTGTGTTGTGGAATATCATTTTAAGGTGTGTTACTTTTGTTTATGTTGTATTTATTTAACTCTGTGAAGCTGTGTTACTGGGCCTGTCTAAAATACCCGATGGTCTAATAAAGAACTGAACGGCCAATAGCAAGGCAGGAGAAAGGATATGTGGAGCTGTCAGGTAGAGAGGATATATAGAAGGAGAAATCTGGGAGGAGGTAGTGAGGATCCAGAGGAGAAGAACTCCAGGGACCAGCCACCCAGCTACACAGCCAGCAACAGAGTAAAAGTAAGATTTACAGAGTAAGAGAACAGGAAAAGTCCAGAGCCAAAAGGTAGTCAGGATAATTTAAGGGAAGCTGGCTAGAAAGTAAGCTGCTGGGCATTCGTAAGTAAGAATAAGCCTCCATGTGTGAATTATTTGGGAGCTAAGTGGCGGGCCCCCCAAAGAGTAAAATACGAAGAACAATAGTGACACATTCCTTTTATTGCAGTATTTGAGAGGCAGAGGTAGGAGGATCGTTGAGTTAAAGGCCAGCCTGGTCAACAGAGGAGTTCCAAGCTAGTCATGCTAGTGAGATCCTGTCGAGGAGGGGGAAAAAAAAAAAAAAAAAAAAGCAAATGCACCCTAAGGGGGAAGTTGCCTAAGAACCACTGTTCTGGACTGACACCCACTGGCTAGTAGCTTGTCATGTGGTGGTAACATTAAACAATTTGGGGAGGGGTTTTCTTAAATTGTAGCCTTTATTTTTCCTTAATCACAGTGTAACCTGGTATATACACTCTTTATGCTCACAGGAGACAGGGAACCAATGACAGACCAAAGCAATGATTCCAATGCAGTGTACTTACTGAGCTTCCTTACAGGGGGTGGAGGGTACTGACCCCCAAACAGCCACATGGCTTTAATCTCATGCCCGCATGGGTAACTCTGTCATCACGGCATAGGTGGAGTCTATTCTTCAGGGAATGGTCTACCTATATACTAAAACATACACTGTATGTTTAGTAACTCCTAAAACCACATGCAGTTGGGGCAGAACTACATAGGGATGGGAGCAGGGTGCAGAAAGGAGTGGCTGGAATCTAACGACTCTCCCAAGTTTCTATTCTATGCAGGAATGTCAACAGCAGTTGACATTCAGTTGTTCTGGTTTAGACAGTGATGGCAGCTAATGTTTGGAGGACAGCACGTCACAATACCTTTTAGGCAGTATCACACGCTTTACAAATTTGGACCGCCTTACATCTAATAGCCTTTCCCTATTACCTGCAGGGATGCGGATATTGCAAACATGTGTAGAGTCAGGACATGGTTATGTGTGCAGGGTGGATACTCCCAATATTCCCAATGGTCTCAGGGTTATGGACAACTTGGTGGATTGTTCTGAATTTTGCCAGGCTTAGACTGCCATGTCTTCATAGGAGCTTATGCCTGGTGTATGTTTTTCTAGATTGTCTAAGATGACAAACAGTTACATGCCTGGATTAGGGAGCTATGATGTGATCCATTTTATTTATCATTGGATAGGGAAATCTCACTTGTTAGGGTCGAAAGGATGAAAATAACAGGGTTTGGTCTGGCCATAACATTTCACTCCCCTAGCGGCCCTTCTTTCTCTTCGTTGGGCTCCAATCAGGATCTCTGAAGGTGAAGTGAGCTCCTGTCTTCTTTGTTCACTTGTGTGGCAGCCCTGAGGCCTGAGGAGGTGCACAGGCAGCGCTCACTGGAATGTAGCAGTGTGGGTTTGCTGGGCTGTGATTTGTCACCCTGTGAGCTAGAATAACTTCAATGTGAAACTTCATCAGCGATGGCATCCATTTCCTTTATTATCTGATGGCTGTATGCTCGAGTTTCCAAAAAGACAGCTTGATTTCCCGAATGGAATCTGAGTCCTGGGCCTGACTTCCATTTCTATTATTAGTACTGCGCGTGCTCTTGGTGAGGCTCAGTTTATTGACTATAAAACATGAACAAGAACTGGACATAGTGTTGCATGGTTTAATTCCAGCACTTGGGAAGCAGAGGCTGGCAGATCCAAGTTTTTAGGCCAGCCTGGTCAACACAGTGAGTGCCAGGATAGCCAAGGGAAATATGAGAGCTTGTCTCAACATAACAAAAAATGAATTAAAAGTGTGACAATACTGTTAGGAATGTTTCAGTGGTGAAGCAGACTATATAAGGAATTGTACACATGGTGCTTGGAACAGAGCAGATAATTATATGAGTAACAAAATGGAGTTTGATCAGTAGCCAGGTGTGGTGGTACATGCCTTTAAACCCAGCACTAGGGAGGGAGAAGCAGGTGGATCTCTGAGTTTGGGGCTAGCCTGGTCTACAGAGTAGCCAGGACTATGTAGGGAAATCCTGTCTTGAAACAAAACAAATGAAAAAAGGAATTTGATCAATAAAATAAAAATAGTAATATATTATAACCCATAGAATAAAACATTCATGTGTCCTCATTGGTGTAAGAAATAACTGAATGAAGAAACCAAGAAAAAGGAAAGCTTTTCACAGGGATTCCAATTAAGATCAAAAGAATGAAAGGAACAGAAAAGATACTGCAGTAGTAATCTGTGGCTGCTAAAAATGACTGGGTGGCTTGAAGAAAAAGATATTTACATGTCTTTAAAGTATCTCCTCCAACACAGATATGGACTACAACCGGAAAAATGGTACAGCCTTCTGCTATGGAGGAAAGTGGCAGATGGCACCTTTACCGGATGTTCAAGGCCAGTATCATGGGAACTAAGACACAGTGACATTCTGTATCCCCTGATAGGACACAGTGAGACATGCTACCACTGTGGTTCTGACTGAAAGCCACAGAACTTCACGATATGATACAATCAGAGTTTGGGACAGTTTACAAAAGGAGTGATGAGCGCTCATCCCGAGGGGTCAGGAGGGAAGGAAGCACAAGGCACTGTCGCCATAAGGAAGACTACCCAGTGCAGCAGGATCCTCCATGGGGCCTCGGCTGGGACAAGGCCATCAGAGGAGAAACTGGTGCCAGCAGAATGACATGCACAGCTGTTTAACTGCACTGTCCTGGTGCTGGTTTACCGTCAGTTTGGGCACCCGTGCACTGGGTGTATTAGTTGTTTAACTGTACTGTCCTGGTGCTGGTTTACCGTCAGTTTGGGCACCCGTGCACTGGGTGTATTAGTTGTTTAACTGCACTGTGCTGGTTTACCGTCAGTTTGGGCACCCGTGCACTGGGTGTATTAGTTGTTTAACCGCACTGTGCTGGTTTACCGTCAGTTTGGGCACCGTGCACTGGGTGTATTAGATGGTAAAATGGGGAGAACCTGGGAAAGGGGACATGGGAATTATCTACACTATTTCTGCAAAAACTGGGCATGTTGGAAACTGTTTCAAATTAAAAAGTCGAATCAAGTAAGTGGACAAGGCCGCTGTATTTATTATCTGCCCGTACCAGGCACACTTGCTCTCTCTAGTTTTGTGGGCCACACTGTGTGCCGAGACCATGTTTCACCGAGGGAATAGAGGCGTCAGACGGCACCTGACAGGCACAGAGATATGAAGAGACATAAATAACACACACTGTGCTTCCAGCTTCCCTTCAAGCTATGACAAAGACCCAGCAGGCATCTGTCTCCCCATGGCGG